GATAGTCCACTAAGAAGGCCGAGAATGATGCCGGTCCCGAGAAGCCGGGAGTGGACCTGCGGCCCTGATCGCTTGTCTCTCCCCGGAACTTTGATCGAGCAAGCGAGATCGGAGCCTTATTGGTTCCTCGGTCGATGAACATCTGGAAGAAATGGGAGGAAATGTGTAAGTCACTAGACAGTCCGGCCCTAATACGATGGGAAGGGGTCTCCAGAGAGAGAATCTAGAACGTAATCCTCGTTGGATGGAAGGGCGGTCCAGCTGCCGAAGGCCCCAACGAATATGGGATCATACAGGCATGGATACGAGGATTTTGAGAATGTAGGTGGGCCCGTGAAGCAACTTGCTTCGAGTGGAATAGTCCTCAGCCTTCCATCAAGTTGCAGAGTATGTGGCGACCTGAGGGCAGGGCTACGCGAGATCCTGTTGGCAACTCGCCGTCACTTGACTTTACCCCCAGAGCAGCGTAACAACATGTGTGGAGTTGCGGCGTTCTGGCTTAGACCGATCACAGTAGCAGTGGCCAATGGAAGTCAGATCCCTTGATGTTGATTTGTTGGTCGAGAGGATTTCTTGGTAGCCTAGCTAAGCCAAGACGGCACGAGATTTGAATACCAGCGGATGACAGGGCACTTGCCTCCGCTGCGTACCAGATTGGAAACCGCAAACTGAGCTCGTGTCTCAAATAGGTAGATAGTATTTGAAGCTCTATGCGGGGCCCGAGTTCTTCAGTTTCGGCGATGGCAAAGGTGTAAGCATAAGACTAGTTACTGACGAGGCAGAGTGCCCGGTATGAGGGCGATCTGCCGGTACACTAGCTCACCGGCCGATGTCCCCAGATGACCGGAAAGCCTAGACGGCATGTGTCGTTGCCACGTGGTTGTGAAGGGCGAACGGAAGAAGCCTCGTTTAGCTGACGGAAATGAGCTAAGGAGACGATGACACCGTCATCCGAAAGGTACGATACAGTCGGGGACGGAATGAGACAAGACCAGGGTTCCAGAGCATACCTGCCGTGAATACTTTAGAAGAGTCGTACTAAGGTAACCGAATTTAAGGTACCGAGACACGGAGTAAACAAGGTACTTACTGACCAAGACATCCAGCACTTACTAAACCGCAACGTTGACTCAGGCCACAGAGCCAACAGAAGCCTGCCTCTAGACTTTAAGAGTAAAGAATGAAGCCATTGCCGTTGGCAAGCAATGTACTCCGTACAGCATGAACATCTGAAGAGCGGATGGTGATGTTGGGGTTTGGAGTAATATGAGCAGTGTGGATGATTCGGGGTAGAACAGGGGGCCTCGATTGGTTCGCGGAGGAAAAGAAGGGGCCTCTATCCAAAAGCCACGAATGAGAGGTGACAAGGGAGGCGTCCGATCTTTTCGCATCTTGGGGAATTTCGGACCGACGACCGTTATGGTATGGCGCCACGCGCGACCGCCGTGCCGTATTCAGGCTAAATACCTCGTGGCACACTTGAGCAACCTAATTTGGTGGCGCCATACTCTTCTGGCCGGATTCTCGTTCATCCGTCATCGTTAGAGAGTCGGATTCCCTCCGTTGCTAGTTGTTTTCCGAGGGAAAGGGGAGCTTAACATCGATGAGTATGTTCGTTTGGGGAGTCATCTAGAATACGATATGCCATACACTGAAGGTGATGTTTCTTGAGGAGAAAATGGTAAACCTTGAAATGATTACGCAGGTGGTTGTGGTCACTTGCTCTCTCAGTCATGGATTGCCCGGGCAGCTTTGCAAAACTCGAATGCGAAATTTGGTAGCGAGGTGTTAGCCAGACACACACACGGCACAGGATGGCATCCCGCCACCCAACTTTGTGCGTGACCGAGATTTCGACCACATCGACCAGGATGGAGAGGATTTCCATCTGTCGGTGACTTTAGTAGTAGTCACTCCAAGACCGGCTTGATGAAAGGAGGTCCCCCAGCTTGAGGCTGTGAGAGAGGGCCGTCATCATAGGTGCTGGGTTCATGGCTGGTGGTGGTGGACCAAGGGCCGACCCTCCATCAAAAGTTCTCCAAAGGCCCCACACGCACTCTCACTGTCGCCGTCAGCTAGCTCCTCCAATTTCTACAGTTCTTCAACTCGTGCCAGTCCAAGAGGATGCCCATACCTGATCTCAGGGCTCGTAGCTGATGCTCACCTCGGGCCTTCTAGATCCAATAGCCAGCAAAGGTCAACACACTTGAGGAAGAGGTTGCGAAAGTGACGCTCACTCAACCTGCTCCGAGGCACTTGAAACCCGAGGCACTCGGGTCGGCAAGACGAGCAGGTGTGCCTCATTCAAAGGGCCGAGGAAGCTCGAGAATGAGATACAGTGAAGATGGCACCTTGAAGACCAGTCTTGCGAGAGATTCGGCACCGTCCCGCACCCGGCGTATCCCACGGGCAGGACCGAATGGAATCTTTGGTTGTGGTGGTGGTAACAGCCCAAGAGGTGGTGTGCGTGGTGTGGGGAGGAGGCGGGACGACTGCAACGGGGTGTGGGAGGTGAGGAGAAAGAAACATCCTTTGCTCCGCATGTGCGGAGAAGCGGTGGGAGGCGTTTTAGTGGACCGGATCAGATTGACCGTTTCTCCATGCTCATCTCAAGCGCGAGGGTGTCACTGGGCATCTATTCTGTACAGGAGGTGAGATTGGTGTGGCAGCCTGCAGAAGGCATCTGAAGCGGACGCGAGCCAGTTGAGATGGATGACGAAGAGCCAAGCTGGATGTTCCTTTGGGTACCGCGACGGTATGCGGGAGCCCGTTTTCGATGAGTCCAATGCTGGTCCAGCTTGTGCATGACACAGAAGACTTAATGCTATTGACTTGATCCACTGAGAACAAGCAAGACTTCTGCCCATTACTCAGCTGTGACTGACAAGTTGCTGTCGACGTCGCCACGGGTAGAAATTGATTTGGGAAAACCTAAAACCCTTTCTTGGGTTTGGGCACGATTGCGCAGCCCTTGAAGCAGGCCGCAGCATGCCCCTTACAGCTGCCTTAGCTGAAATTAAGTCAACACCATCACCGGACAACAGGGTGCTGACTCTGGCAACCCCAAGGGTTCTTCTGTTGTGCCGGGGGCGATGGGGTTGCCGTTGGCGTTGGGTCCGGAGGAGTAGGGATGCCCTTGGATTTACCGGCACTCGACCTGCGGGACCGGAGCTGAAGGTTTGCAAGCGTCTTCGTTCGGGACTTCCCCCGATATTGTGCGTATGGAGGAAACGGGTCATTGTCATCGCGAGCCTTGGACCAGGAAGGCTCTGACATTCAGTGGTGAGTTTCGCACTTGCGTAGAAAACCAGAGCGTACGGAGTAACGGTGTCTCACCACGGTCGAACAAGGCAAGCCAATCGACTTGATGCAAAGAGACCACAACCACCAACAGGTTGGTGACCACTGTGGCGTTGGTTTTGACGATCTTGCCGGAGGGATGGGGTTGTTAAGGGTATGTTGTGGCTGTGGCAGTGTTCGCGGTATAGATGGTCCTAGTTTACCTTGAAGGGGACATGCTAGCTAGCGGAGGGATGCACCTTCCTTTCCAATCCCCAGAGTTTGTTGACGCGTGTCTAGTGTACGAAGAAGCTTCTTCGAAGGAAGGCTTGATGGAATTTGGGAGGGGGCTAACAAGAGAGTTTGCCCAAAGATGCTGTCAGGGGAGCGACTGGCAGCACTGGTGCAACCGATGACATGTTGGTTGTGAATGGACTACTTTGGGCTGGACTTCGGTCCGGCTCTTGTCACCTTGTAAGCTTGAAACGGGATAAGGAAGTGCCCGCGCGGGGGCGCAGTGTGGGTGTGACGGTCTCGTCTATCTGACTAGAACGGGCGAGGAGATGAGTAGAGCGGGATGGGTGGGATAGTCAGAAAGTGTGCTGAAGAGCATGATGGGCTTGAATGAGGATGTGGGATGAGAAGGTTGTGAGAGTGCGCTTGTGCGTACATATCGGAGAGTAAGCGAGGATGAAAGGCGGGTGAGAGAGATTGGGCGATTGAGTGGCCTGGGGGATGAGTGAGTGAGTGAGTGAGCGGCGCCCACGGTAGGCGCGTGTGTTTGCAGAGAAGGAAACATTGTTTTGCAAAGATGCGTTTCCTTGGAACACGGCCGTTCGCTGACTTGCAGAACGACTTGACGGGATGTGGTTAGATGAGCTAGGATGGAACAGGACACATTTGGGGGATGAGAGTTCTCGTATGTGATCCTTGAGTGAGTGAGCATAGCGCAGGGTGAGTTAGTGGGTAGGGGTAGGATTCAGGTACACATTGACAAACGAAGCGTACTGCAGCGCGGCAAAGTCCGAGGTACCTCCTTGAGGTTCTAGCTGTACTCGAGCTAGGACGACCGTAGAACCATACTAACGCCTGCGCAAATCGAGTGCGGTGCAGGGACAAGGCCTCTAGTGTGGCTGGCGCGTGTCAAATAAGAGCTTTGATGGTGCAACGGCACGGGAAGAAGGTGCGACGGAGGGCGCGCTTGTGATTTGGAAGCTGCCAAAGCTTTCTGACAGAAGCAGTTTTAGAAACACCCTTCATGCCTTGGGTTCTCTGCCAGTGACAACGAATAGAACCGGGATAGGGAGTCGAAACCTGAATGCGAGACCGAACTCTCTTGACTCGATGGAGTTGCGGCCACGATTGTTGTTGTCGAGAAGGATGATCTGTAATTAGTTGTGTTCGAGAGATGTGGAAATGTTCAAGGGAGTTGGGCTGAGATGCGAGTGGAAGTATTGCGGAGAGTTTCCATCGAGGTGGACCAGAGACACGGGTATGGAGCATTAAGCAGGACAATGTCTTAGACAGTGTAGTACGATAAGGAGGGTAGATGCGATAGGTCGATAAGACGATAAAGTGGACATGGTCATATGCGGTGCAACCCAAGGCGACCTTACGTTGACTTCATCCTCTCTTCATCCTCATCTCCCGTTTCTCCCAATCCCCAGTCGCCAGGTCAGGCGAAAAGGGCCAAGGCAAGCCAATTCGGGCGATAGATCCGACTATTCCTTTTTCGGGATCCTGCACCAACACCTGCATATGGTGCCGTTCGAAGGCTGCATCTCCCACCTGCAATCACTGCGAACTCTCTGCAGCTTGGATCTGCCGCCGCGTTTTTCTGTACCTTTCAACCCCTGCTTTATTCCCCCTTCTCTCCCCAGATGTCTCGCCCGCCGGATATTGTTCCAGACGCAGGTATACTGCGAATACTGCTGTTGCCCCAAGGCTGCTGCCGAGTGCCCACTCAATCCCGTTCGCTGGGCTGTCTTACAGTAAGACAGACGTTGGAACGGTCCTGGGTCCTTTCTTATTCATCTGTATAGGAACCGGCACCGCATACCTTGGCAGAGGGTTTCGGTTTGCTTGATGCGATAGGCTTCTGTCCTGGTCCTGACCATGTCATCGGGACGAAAGTGGGCAGAGAACAGACGCAACGCCTCGACACCTCCGCCGCTGCTATCGTGACCGTCGGTGCTTTTGACACAAGACGCACTCTTTTCTAAACCGAACAACAAACGAGCGCCGATGACCAGACCAACTGAACATGAGAGCAGATGAAGGGACAAGCTCCGCCACCACATGTTGTTCCCAACACACACACGCCGTCGAAGAGCATGAGCATCAAGGGGTAGAAGGCAATCTCTGTCTTTAATGAAGCTTGACAAAGTCTTTGAGTTTCTAGATGTAAAGAGAAAACTTCATCTGAAGAGTGTTGGAGGATCATCCTGAAGACTACAGATACAAAGTGGCATATTTAGCAGCGACAACTTGACCTTGAATGCAGCAAAGAAGACACTGGACGGGCCCTCGGAGTGGGCCCTCCGCGTGACTAACAGCACTCAAATTGACTCGGTGTCATCCAAGTACCCTCTCCTCATACTAACCTCCATCTCTACTCCTCCATCTCTACAGAGTACTCTTCATCCAATCCTCTCCTCCTCCCATGTCCCTTGCACGCCTCTTCGTCGGGTCAACTCTTCTTCTACCGCACAGACCCCTGCTATGCGTCTTTCGTCTGAACGGGGGTTTGTACTGCCATGTACCGACAGCTCCAGCACAACCCACCAGCACCGAGCACCTGCGTCAGAAACCTGGAGAGTGCAGACTGGGGAAACGAGACAACTCATCTCCAGTGAACGCAGTAGAGGTTGCATATGTGGCGCGGCTCGACAGATGACGGATAGCGATGTCGTGCCAGACAGAAGAAACGGCGAGAGGCTGCAGAACCATCCGTAAACGCCACCCTTCCAGAGGTCCGCTTCCGCCTAGTTTTGGCTCCATTCCGTGCGCTATTGTCATGACGGCAAAAGATTCTCTCTACGGAGTAGACGCCAACCAAAAGGGTCTTTCCCCCATGTCCTTGGCTCCCGTTTGGGCAATTTCCATCAAAGTACCCAACGAGAATCCGGGGCTTTCGACAGGGACGTCGTCCCCTTGGCTTGCGCGCGCTCTTTCGAGCGAAGGATTTCGTCTTGATCCCATCGCAAGCTTGGATCAGGAGGGTGAGCATGATAATGCCATCGGTTGACCCTTCCACCACACAAGTGCATGTCCACTGTATGACATGACTTGCGGCTCGTAGCTGGGCACTTTGTAGTGACGCCATCTGGGAGGATACGACCAGCAAAAAGTAGCAAAAGCCCATTTACGGTTGGTTCAGATGTTGGAAAGGAAGCTCGACTCCGTCACCCCGTCTATAGAAAGCATAACGAAAGGCACATATAGCGCCTCAAAGCTAGACGACCGACGAGTAGCTCCGAAATGGCCGGACCTTCTTCACGTCTGCCGTTTTCGTCGTAGCAGCGAACAACGCCACACAATTCTGTAACTATATCGGCACTTCGCTATACATTGGGATGAGAGAGCAAACCGCTAAGACCGGCGGGGGCGGGCAAGCCAAAGCCCTATGTGCAAGGCACGCCAGAGGGAGAGGCTGCGTGTTCGTCGCTATACCGGACCAACGAGACTGGTTCCAACAACGGCGGTGCGTCTGCTACTCGGCTACACTCAGACCGAACGAGAACTTGAACAAGCAAAGATAGCCTTCCGCCAAGCCGAATGGCATTATTGGCCGGGATGGCACAGTCCAGCGTACCAAGCTTGTTGCTCCCAACCCACTTTGGGGCCGCGCCGGTGGAGGTCTGGAGACGAGCCTGAAGACTGGAGAAAGCGAGAGAGACTCAAGCTTCCAAGAGACGATTCCCCATCTTCTTCTCCCACCTCCTCGTTTACCCCCAGAGCCCAAAATGTGCCGCGCCAACACCCCCGCCCTCTTCGCTACTTCGTACGGAGTACAGCTGCCACACCACGCTATCTTCGGCCGACGTCCTAACCCAAGCAACAGTGACTGCCATGTTGTGACTAGGTAATTGTCCCGAGGCAGGCCAAAAACAAAGCCGAGCAAGACCATGGAAGCAGTGGGGATCCTGTCCCGGTGGGGAGGAAAAGGTTTGATGACAGTCCATGCCGTCTTGTCACCGCCATGTCATGCCTTGATCCTTCCAGAGGAATGGACCGGAAACGCGTTCATCACCCTCACCGGGCTGGCTCTAAGCTTCACCTTGTTCTGCTATTGTTGATCAACCAACCGAACCCAATGCTGAGCCACACACTCTCTCTCATACAACCCCGTCGCTCCAACCAGGACGAGATGATCCATCATAGGGAGAAGGAGGATGGACCATGGATGGGATGAGCCCGTCGTTCTAGACCGGCGCAGCATCTTTTGGGGCATGTGGCCCTGTTCCTCGCCCAAAGATGCTCGTTGATTCTCCACATTCACACCCGTAAATGGCCGCCCGTCGCCAGTTTTCCTCTCGATGCCGTTCGTTGCTCCTCACCTTACTGTCGCCCATCGTCGAGCCATCACCCCTGTTCCCCTCATTGCAACCCTGCCCCGTCCTCGCATGCTATTATGTACAAGCGTCCCATATAATATAGCTAAGCCCGAGGAACCACAAAGTCACCATTTCGCTTCTTCCCCCCCTTCGAGAACCTTACCTGACGCGCCGTTGGTACGTCTGTACGTCTCTCTGTACATGCGCATGCGCTGCCGCTGAGCATCCTGTTGTCAATTTTAATTTTCTTCTCGAATCATTCGCGCGTGTCCCGTACATACATCCATCCTCTCGCTGCTTCTGCGGCCGCCGCCCTGTCTGTCACCAGCCGCCCTCCTCCACACCTTTCGCCCTTTTATCCCGCCGTTTACAGTATTCTACCAATGTAAATGCGATGGTCCACGTTATCATACAGCAAGCGGACCAGCTAAACTGAGCAGTAACTCAACGGCTTGAACAGCATTCACGTTCTATTGAACCATCTCTACATACGTGGCAAGCTTCGAGCGCAGGCCATCCGTCGAAGAGAGCCGCAGTGGACATCGAGAACTTGAAGGGAGGAGAGCTCCGAGCCAGACCACCGAAACGAACATCATCGTCGCATACAACCCCGGCGATACAGATTCGGAATAACCACTGTTTTCAAGCTTCCGAATTGCCTTGATATTACTACCTCGCACTTGGATTTACCAACCAATTGTTCAAGATACCCTTCCCGCCGCAGCACAACACGCGAGACACGGGACGCAACCAAACAACTCAACTATTTGGAACTCCCCCAATTACGGCAACGACCGACATTCATAACTTCACGGGTTGATCTCCAAGGGGTGAGTTAACTTGGGTCTCGGTCCCAATATTCCACTTTCACAGAAAGCTCTCTTTCGCTCAATCATCTGCGCCGCACTCCTTCAAGCACCCTGTCGCTTGTCCCGTCTTCCTTACCCTGTCACCCAAGCCGTCTGTACATCAACCCCGCCATGATTGTCGTTGCTCTATGCTGCGCCGTTCTCCAACGACGTTGCAGATCTCACGCCCACCACTTGTTCTCAGTTTAGCTCATATTACTATACCCCATGCCCATCCTTCTTCTCCGTCCCGCCCCCTTTTGCGCCCCCAACTATCCTAAACGGCCTACAGCAGTGCTGACCGAAGCAGAAGTTACCTTGTGTTATTGAAGGCTCGCATATTATCTATCGCTTGCCCCAGTCTAAGAGAGCAACATCGCCAAAGTTGGTTGACATAACTCGTCTAACCACTTCGAATCCTTCCAGCCGCCCATCTCGCAGTCTTATTCACGTCCCTATCTGCATGAGAGAAGGCAGATAGTTGCTCGTTGTTCGAGTAGCACTTTCACCATTCAGCCACTACATCGCCAACAGCGGGCTTGGTCCCAGCACGAAGAAGACAGGATGCTGTCCAACCCGCTCCACCGCTTTTCGCCATACCATGGCATGCAGTCCAGCACCCTCTTCTCCAACGCCCACCATGTTCCCAACGGCCATGCCCACGCGAATGGTGTCGACCCCCTCGCGCCGAGCTCGCACTATGCGCTGCAACAGATTCAACAGCAGGTTGGGGGAGTCCACAGCCCACACCTCGCGCGAGCAGGCCCTCAGTCAACAAAACACCGTCAACACCCATACGGCGGCGGACCCGCGGGTCGTTCTTCTAGCACATCCGGCCCCGTTCGTAGAAGAATCAGTCGAGCCTGTGATCAGTGCAACCAGCTGCGTACAAAGTGCGATGGGCAACATCCCTGTGCCCACTGTGTAGGTAAGAAAGAATCAGTTGAATAGATGATCGGCGTGGCGTGGGGGAGCTGGGCTGGACTGGACTAGACTGACTGACTTGTTTTCAGAATTCGGATTGGGCTGCGAGTACATCCGCGAGAGGAAGAAGAGAGGCAAGGCATCACGAAAAGACCTTGCCGCGCAAGCCGCCGCGCAAGCAGGGACAACGGGCGCAGAACAGGGCCCGAAATCGCCTTCCGACGACAATGGGCAGCCTTCGGAGCAATCCGAGTCCAATAACGCCAAGGCAGCACCATCACTAGGCACGACGACTTCTCAACACGGCCACATCGGCAAGGCCATCGACGAGCTCAGCGAGGAAGCCATGCATCAAAGCCAAAGGACCGGCTCACTCGATAGCATGGGAGATATGGTGAGCCACCAAGCCCACCTGGCAGCTCATCACGGGATGGACAGAGATCAACTCGAAAGCCCAACAACCATGGATCTCAACGGCTACGGGGGCGTCCACGGGGGATACGACAGGCAAGGCCTGGGCGCACACATAATGCCGGGACCGGCCCACGCAGGGTACGGTCCAAATCAGGGTGGCATATCAGCATATCCCGACATACCGTATCCCATGCAGACCCAGAGCCCAACGGCATATACCAACGGCGCGTCATTCCGGATCGCAGCCAGCCCGATCAGTGCATACCCTCTCGGTGGTGAGCCGACGTCTCCCGGGTGGATGTCCATGTCCTCTCCGCCGGCGGCGCAATACCAGTCTCATATGCCTCCGAGCAGCTACGGCCACCCCGGTCAACAGCAACTACGATACCCGGTCCTGCATCCTCTGATGCCCCATCTTGGAAACCTCATCCCGGCGGCTCTGGCATGCGACCTGATCGACCTCTACTTCGCATCCTCGTCCTCGGCACAGATGCACCCAATGTCACCTTACGTCCTGGGCTTCGTCTTCCGTAAGAGGTCTTTCCTCCACCCCAGCAAACCGAGACGATGCCAGCCGGCTCTGCTAGCCAGCATACTCTGGGTGGCAGCCCAGACGAGCGATGCACCCTTCCTGACCAGCGTCCCCTCAGCACGGGGCAAGATCTGCCAGAGGCTGCTGGAGCTGACCGTCAGCCTTCTCAAGCCGCTCATTCATACACCTTCCGGGGACACATCACCGGTGACCAGCCCCGCCATCGATGGCGTAGCACTTGGCGGGCTCGGCGTTGCGCTTCCTGGGTCAATCAGCATGGACGCGTTGACGGGTGAATCCGGTCCATTCGGAGCCGCCGGCACCCTCGACGACGTCATTACCTACATCCACCTCGCGACAGTAGTCTCCGCGAGCGAGTACAAGGGCGCGAGCCTGCGGTGGTGGAATGCGGCCTGGTCTTTGGCCAGGGAGCTGAAGCTCGGCCGTGAACTGCCGCCAACCCCTCTCTCCATGAACCAGAGCAACGGGCACGATGGTGATGGCGCAGACGGCGAGGTTGAGGATGACTTGGCAGGCAGCGGGCACCCGGGCGTCATCACGGAGGAGGAGCGCGAGGAGCGCCGAAGGATATGGTGGCTCACGTACATCGTCGACCGCCATCTAGCCCTATGCTATAACAGGCCGCTATTCCTGCTCGACCTCGAGTGCGCCGGTCTGCTGCAGCCGACGGACGACACGGCGTGGCAGAATGGCGAGTTCAGACCCGCGCACGTCACGACAGACCCTAGCCTGGGCGGAGACGCCTCAACCGGTGCCGGCGGCGTATCGAGCGGCCGCGTGCGCGGGCCGCACTTTGAGTGTACGGGACACAGCATATTCGGTTACTTCCTCCCGCTCATGACGATCCTGGGTGAGATCGTAGACCTCCACCACGCCAGAAACCATCCGCGGTTCGGTGTGGGATTCCGCTCGGCTCGCGAGTGGGACGATCAAGCCAGCGAGATCACGCGCCATCTCGAGGCTTATGAAAAGAGCCTCGGGCGGTTCGAGCAGCTTCATCTCACGCGGGTGAACAACATTAACCTCGATGATAATGGCGACGTAGTAGTTAATCCTGAGGGTGGTAGCGTAGACCACGGTCCGATTGCTGACATTGGAACGCCCTCTGTCCACTCCGTCCACACAACCGCGTCTTCATCCCTCAACCGCATGACGGAGAGCGACATCCAGACCAAGATCGTTATGGCGTACGGTACGCACGTGATGCACGTGCTGCACATTCTGCTCGCGGGCAAATGGGACCCCATCAACCTTATCGATGACAACGACCTCTGGATCTCGTCGCAAGGGTTCATCACGGCGACCGGCCACGCTGTCTCGGCGGCCGAAGCTATCAGCCACATTCTCGAGTTCGACCCGGGCTTGGAGTTCATGCCGTTCTTCTTCGGTATCTACTTGCTCCAGGGGTCGTTTTTGCTGCTCCTCATCGCGGATAAGTTGCAGCTTGAGGCGTCGCCCAGCGTCGTCAAGGCGTGCGAGACGATTGTGCGCGCGCATGAGGCCTGCGTTGTGACGTTGAACACAGAGTATCAGGTGAGCTTCTTTCTCTTTCCCCCCATGTCTTCTCCGTGCTCGAGAGACTTGGGTGCTGACTATTCTCCCTTTGTAGCGCAACTTTAGCAAGGTTATGCGAAGTGCTTTGGCGCAGGTCAGGGGTCGGGTGCCGGAGGATCTCCATGAGCAGCACCAGCGTCGACGGGAACTTCTTGCTCTGTACCGGTGGACCGGCGATGGTACAGGACTTGCGCTCTGATTT